TGACTTTTTCATCCTCGGATGGGAAAAGGACGAATACCGGACTAGTCTGACTCACTTCTCGCTTGCAGGTATCCTTCACTGCAAGCCGCCGCTGAGCTGCAAAGCTACCGTCCTCACGACAAATAAGCGGGAGCCCGCAAATTGCAAAAATAATCGACTGCTGGAGCCTGCAAACAACCGAATTGCGTTCTTTGAGGTAAAACCCGCGTTTAAGGAGGCATGCCGATAAGTGACACTATTAGCACGAATATAATCGCAATTTTAAAAGAAAACTCAAGAGACTTATGATTTATACCCTACACATTTACAAGTGATTTTTTCTTTTAAAATAGGTTTTGTTATAAAGAAGTAAATTTCACAATAATTTTATAGTTTCCAAGCAGGACTTAAATATTTGATGTTAAATATACATAATTCACAAACTCTACACAAGTTTGAATACTCACATTGTTGTTGTGAGTATCTGAAATTGTTGAATATTCTATTTTGAAATCTGAACATATATTGTCATGAATTCTTTCAATTATGTATCATTCAAAGTAATTTGAAGATTATGAGATACATTTTTACATAGTTTATTCCTTTGATTTTACCCTCTAGTCTCCACTAGAAACTCTAATTGCACGTTTTCATCATTCTAGTATATACAATATGTCTGTAATTTTCATGGGAAGAATCGAGCTTGATGAAACTGTAGATCAAATAACAATGGTCAATACTATCAACTTTAATTCTTTCATTTCATATTTCTCGACAAAAAGTAGCATTTATCATAAATGCTACTTTTTGTATGTATACATAAATGATTTATGTATACATATTTTAACATTTATCAAGTTTAGAAATATATTTTTAAAATAGTTTCGTGAAATTGACGTACTTTTGCATATTATTTAATTAAAATAATGATCAACTCGATTTTTAGAAACGATCGAAGACACTGTATGAGCAACCGCTGCTTCCTTGTGAAGAATTCAAGCCTGATGGGAATAAGCGCTAAGCCTATTCCTTGCGTTTGGACGGGTGTGCCAGATGCTGTACTGTTGTGCCTTCAAACATCGGCAGGTTCTCGCAAGTGATTAGCGGCAATTCAATTTCTAGAGGTGATCCAGGAAAAAACGTCGAATGCCGATCAGTTGCTGTGTCATGGGATATATTTGAACATGTGATATACTCCATGACACAGTGGAGAGTAATTCCGCAAAATTCAGCCGATCATGGAGGACGGTCGATCGATTCAAGAAAAAGCATGCTTCTAACAATGTATCCCGTAAGATTGACGTTGTTTTTTCAAATGTGCAGATTTACTTTCAAAGATGTTCGAAGCTTCCGACGGTCTTCGAATGATGATAGTACTCTCCGGCCAGGACGCTGGAGTCGGATGGGAGTTTACGTCGGAGATTTCAAAATTTGGTTTGAAGTTCAGACGTTACAACTTGGAACAGATAAGTCCTCAGTTTTGCCTTTCGATCAGTTCAGTGTGTTCAGTGTCAGTGTCAGATTTGTACGAGACGATAGTTTAGGGTATTAGACAGATTGCTCGAACTTCCTACTACTTGTGACATACCTGAATCCTTAAGCGATCAATCGCATAGTACTTTCTTGCGTGCATTGTCTGCGGTTGAGCTCCTGATTGAAACGCTCTGTGAGTTCGAGAGGTGTGAACTAGCTCAGGTCTGCTCAGCTTCAACATTTGAGCACAATAGGAGTAAAGAAGACATACTTTCTCTATTTTCGCTGACGTGGTTGATCTCAATTCAATGACCCTTTGACGCCATACAACTAGTCGTAAAGTTCGTGAACAGTGTTTGTATGGATGATACTTTTCTGATGAACTTATTTTCCAAATGAAAATATTTAATGACTAACATTCTTGATTAATGTACTACCTCAAAGTCAAAGTTTGATGTTTAGGTTTATCCAAATATTTCAAAAGTTATTTGTTCAATTTGTGTATCTTTCTACGTTTCCTTTGTCTTGCCATGGTGAGATGAAACCACTGCAAATGTCAAACACATATATCGTGGTTTATGTAAGTACTCTGTGTCTTATGCATGGGCACGGTTGATTTTGAAACTTAGACAACTATTAACTAATATTGATTATATTTGTGAAAGTACACGTAAGTATTGCCATGGTTGTGTTTGAAACTTAGAAGCTATAAAATTTTTTTATAAGATTTGTAAAACTGCTGGTTAATATTGTCATGGTTGCGTTTGGAACTTGGAAACTATCATAAATTGATGATATTTGTGAAAGTACGTTTTAGTATCGCTGCAACTCTTCATCTTGCCTTTGAAATTGTTCAAAAATCTTCATTGAATCAAAACAAAGGATGCAATTTGTGAAATTATTCACGGCTTTTAACTAATTTCAACCAACTTCATGTAATTTACAATCTTCATGCGACTTTCAACGCTCAATTATTGCTTCATGTTGCAATATTGAGTTAGAAGACCTCTTAAGATCTCCAGACTTTTTTCAAAGAGTACAAACATTATTTCTTGAATTTTTTTCTTACATACTTTAACTCCTTGACACAGCAATTTCATAGGAAACTATTTAACTTCTTCTACTCCATGAAGTATATGAATTCAAACATCCAAGAAAAGTAGATATTTGAAATGTATTTTCCAAATTGAATAAAAAAGATCATGATACATATACATCTATATATACTAGAAACTTTGTAGGTTTTACCATTCTATACTCTAAACCCACACAAGAAAAATACTTGTCCAACTCAAAAAGTCGTTTTGAGGGATCATTAAATGTGATGACTAACCTCCAAAATGTTGTCGTATAACCTTGTGTGGTGTTGTAGCATTCGGTTTCTAAGAAAGCAGTAACCTCTTCGCTGAAGAAAACCCACATCGCCTCTCCTTACATGTGAATTAGTATTTCATGTAGATACGACTCTCAAATTTAGACAGATGGAATGTCAATCTATTGTCAGCAGATCTCACTATGTGAAGGATACTATTTTCAAAATAAGCTAAGAGAGATGATTCTAACTTAGAAAAGATCCCCATCGGAGAAGACTAAAGTCAATTTGTCCTCATTTTCAACCTTGTTGCTCTCCTAGGCAAGCCTTTACCAAAGAAGCCTCAATGAAACGTTTTTCTCTAAAAAAATATTGGACCAATTTCATCATGTAGATACGAGTTCTTGAATGTAACTTACAATGCATCGAATTAATTAATTCTTCTGTTTGATAGTTAGAATCTTGTAAAATTATATAGGTTTTTGTAATTAGAATCCTGTAAGGGAGTATTCTTTATTGGAAGCAAGTATTCTTGCTTATTGCTTCCATTATCTACTTGTTGGTGTTTTGCGAGATCGTATATGAATAAGTGTATGGGATCTTCTACAGCCTTCTCAACACTTGAAGGAAACATCGAAAATAAGAGTTCAACCTATTCAAACAGACTTGTATCAGACTGTCTTGACACCACTTACATGTGTTATGGTCCAGGTTTGTACATTTGACGATACATATTAAAAGTTGACCTTTAAATAGAATAGTGCCTCTAACCAGGTGAGGAGTTTTTCAACTTGTTATATCCTTCAGTATCCTTAGCTTAATGTGATTTTAGGATTTCATGTTTGATCATGGTCCTGCATATTAAAAAAAAGTTTTGGCATAATGAGTGGAGTTTATGTCTTTTCTGAACCATAGATATATGTACGAGTCCAATTTATCCTCACTCCGACATTTTTCTCTATTGTGTTCGTCGTGGTACATTTTCCGATATTTCACTGTATTTTGTATTATTTTTTTCTTTTTTCTCTTATCACAATATTATCACTTAAATTTAGTCTTTTGATCAACATATTTCCTTTCGAGGAAGTTCAAGCAAGATAACTTCTAGTTCATGATAGACAGAGATCTCATTCACAGCATCAAGTTTTACATATCACGCCAGTCAGTGCTCATTTTTTAGATTATTCATGTTTCCTATGTGTAGTAATTGCATAACCACAGAATGCTTTTACTGAGAACTATATGTTCTTCAATTTGAAAATAGACCTATGTTTCTTCTCTTATCTAACATGATTTCAGACAATAGGCTTCTTGCCAAATCTTACTCCTATTATACATGACACCACTCCATAAAGCCTCTCCTTTCTTGTATAGATACTAAATCAAACTTTCCACACCCCTTACTTCTTGATGGTAACTTTTTGCCGACATTCCCACCTTACTGTTGATATAAATACGAAACATTGGAATATTCCTAATTCCTAGACCCTAGATCAAAAACTTTACTTATCTTCATAAAATCAATCCTTTCATTGATGTTTATCGAGTCTATGTTGGTTTGCCCCTTGTTAAAACCGTTAAGAATTAACCTTGTTAAAGATCGCTGAAGAAATCAAAGTTTTCTACTATGACAAATAATCCGACTAACGCATAAACGCGAGAAGAATGATATTATGCTGTTCAACATCTCACTTCTTTAGATCACTTCTGTTCAAATGTTACACGCTTATTGGACTAATGGATTCACGAGAGATAGATATCAATTATGCTCTTTACCGAATCCTCTTGTTGATCATTTCGAAGGGATCAGCATAAAATACATTTGTTACATATATCCATCTGTTTGCGAATTTACACCAGATTTGCGTTGTCCATGTGGGAAATTTTACTGTCTAACGGATGGAGTAGTAAGGGTGAAGATGACAATTTTTTACCAGATCCTGAAATTAATCAGTCTTGTCCCTAGGTATAAGCTTACCTTGGTAGCTCAGACTTAGTGTGTTTGATGAATCTTGGAATATACTAAAATTCTAACTTTATCGTAGTTTCTTAAGAGGTAAGAGTTCTCGCAACAATACGATGAGGAGGTAAGTTTGACCTACCACTAGGAATTTTTTGATGCAATATCTAGTAGGTAGACTTCTGTCACAGGATTGACAAGATAGACAAGATTTATTAGATTGCCAAAAGCTTCCTTAATCCAAGTTCATGCATGATGAAAATCAAGCAGATCTTCCGATGGTTTCTGTTCTTCTCCTTTTCAGAAATAATAAATTTTAGTAATGATCATGAGAATAAGTAAACTTTCATTGTTTCAAGTGATTTCAATATCAATAATTCATTCGTTAATGAGACAAGCGTAAATTGGTAAAGGTAATAGTGAGATGTCGTTAATAAGACAAGCGTAAATTATGTCCCTAATTTGGGAACCAGATAGCATGAAAAGAGACCATGAAATATCTTACCACCTGTATGTGTTGACTCCCAGATCCATCTGTAGATCGTCTAAGATCTGTGCATCAGATCCGAGCATAGGTGAGTGTACCAATGAAATAATACATTAACAATTGTACGTTCTGGCCGAGTCATCGCAATCAAGCTCAATTATAAACTGCTTGATAGTCTAGGTCATACAATTAGATAGTTTTCTCTCTTATACTTCGCACCATCCGAGTTGGCCATGTATGTCATCTACATTAATTTTGTGCTTCTTTTTTTTCAGTTTAGTGAAACTAACAAAAACTGACTAAACTTCAGAGTTGTTTCCGATTCGAATATGGAGAAAATGGAGGCCTCCACATCTTCGACACTACCAAAGTTGCCACTCAGGAGATGCCTCGAAGACATCAGCAATTCTAGCGAGCCCAATCTGCCTTCTGCTGCAGTCGTGGATGTTACCCTCGGCACAAAAGGGTGATCACAATTTATTTTGCTCGCAATTACACTGCGTTTTGTAGTTGTCTCCATGTAGATCCAAATGACGCATGATCTCTGAAGCCGAATATTCTTGTCGGTTCTATGAATGAAACAGGAAGAAGCTGAGAGTTTATCATGCTCCGCGACGAAGGAGGCCATACACGTCGTGGACGGAGGAAGAAGTGAGTACACCATTGGTTGATAACTGATACTGTTTTAGCCTCTATGTAGACGAATCAGTCTTAGGAATGTTAGAAACATCGACAGGCCCAATGTCGATTCTGTCACGATTTTGAAACCATGATGTTCACGACCTTCAGAGGAAGCACTCGAGTTCCTCCAAGTAGGAGTGATGATTTTGGTTCATATTGTTTAGATTGGACAGTACAACTTAAGTGTTAATACTGTGCTTAGATTAGCGAATACAACTTAAGGTAATTTTTCGATTCATTATCAGGCTTAGTCACAGGATATATTTTCTCACTCCGATAGTTGACTTGCCCTGCAACATCTGTAGTATTTTTAAGTAGGGTCTGTTTCTCTGACCACTCGTATTCAATGTAACATTTGATGAACATCCACAGGTGTTCTGAACTGAATATCTGCAGTGACTGAGTTTTACAATTAATCTGAAGCCAAGGCGACTGTCTACTTCATTGTTACAGGACACAGCATTGCGAGCAGCAGTTGAGCAGTTCAAAGGAAGAAATTGGAAAAAAATTGGTGAGTACACATGTACGAGTTTTTTTAGATGAGTTCATTATTTTGGTAACTTTCAACTGCTATGACCACAACTCTTCTGTGTAAAATCTCAAGATATGTATTGGACTGATGGCATGTGCAGCTGCGAATGTACCGAATCGGTCAGATAATCAGTGCCTTAACCGCTGGCAGAAGGTCCTTGATCCTGCCCTCGTCAAGGGATCCTGGACGAAAGAGGTAAGTGCCTCTTATATAAATAGATTACAAGAGTGAGTTACCCAAGATCCCACGTTCAAGAAACGTGATGATTGATATAAGTAGCTTATTTCGCAGGAGGACGATAAGTTGCTCGAAATGGTCAACGAGTTCGGCACCAAGACATGGGCTGCCATCGCTAGGTCATTGCCGAGCAGAAACGGCAAGCAGTGTCGAGAGAGGTGCGTATCAAATATGTGGTGATTTTTATGTTCCGACACTTAATAATCTCACTATAGTCTCTGAAATCTCCTACTGATGGTAATCCTGCTAATCATGGGAATTTTGAGGTGCACCTGTGAGTTTATGTGAAATGTTATTATTCGTGTTGTTGTTCTAAAATTTTGTTGTTTCAGAAAAATGAGTCGTTCAAACAGTAGCTTGAGAGAAAGAGTACTTTAAATAACATGTTACTAGTGTTAATATCTCTTTGATTGATGTGAAATAGTTCACCATGGATATTTCTGTAATTTCGAAGTTATTAATTTTAAATTTACTCCAAATTTGCGAACTAAAAGTTTCACAAAACATTATTCTAACCTGCTTGGTAATTTATTACTTTACAGATGGTGCAATAATCTTGATCCCCAGATCAAGAAGGAGCCGTGGAATGAAGAAGAAGACATGAAGTTGTTTTTGGCTCACAAGAGGTTCGGCAACAGCTGGTCAAAGATCGCAAAGCTAATTCCTGGCAGGTAAAGTCATTATATTCGGAAGATTTAATTTGTGTGGTTACCTTGTATTATAAATGTTACTTAGCAATTTCCTCATCTAATTCTTTTGCACACAATGAATTCCACAGGTCGGAAAATGGTATCAAGAACAGGTGGAACATAACAATCCAAAAACGTGCGGATGCACTCGAACAATCCACTGAGAACTGGATAAATAGGAACACATTTGAGGATATGTTATCCATTATTGACGATGTGGCTCCAACAGAGCTTGATGTTTCTGAAGATCATCTGGCATTGAATGGCGAGGCCAATATCGATCTTCAAGACTCGAATGCTGCGAAAGACCTTATAGCATGGAACTTAGAGTTTGATATGGATGTTGATGTAGATAACTTCTTAGACCTCCCAGACTTGAACCTCTCTCCTTGATATCAAATTGTTACAGTTCATGTGAAGATACCTTATTGCAAAAATATAATGCATGTACTTTATTTTTTAAAATGATTAGCACTTGAATGGCAACACAACTTTGTTTTAAAAAAAAACATTTGAAACACAAGATGATTTTAGTATTTATTTCAGTAGTTATCATAAAAGCTTATTTTATAAATCACGTATAAATAATAAAGTATGTGCATAAAGAATGTATAAAATTGATTTTTTCAAGGAATATGTATGCTCTTAATATTACACAATCGTTTGAAGAATGCTTTCTGCAAACTAGATTTATTTCTTATGCCAAATTTATTTATGTCAATCTTGTGTAAAACATCTGACTTTAATAAATTATTGATGTTTTCATATACCATAAAACACACTATAGTTTGCTCTAAATTAATCTAAAATAAGTCCAACAAGTTGAAATCACTCATAATCTTGTAATAAAGGGCACAAAAGATCATATAAAAGAATAGATCTATAAATCTAGTTTGAAAAAACCAGAAAAGAAAATGTTACTAAAATTTTGACCACTGTGACAATCAAATTGATATTTTCAATATAATCAAGAATTTAGTAAAATTGTACATCTAGCAAAAAATGTCATGCAACTAGTGTTCAACATATGAGCAAAAGAGATTTTTACGAGGGTCTTGATGTTTCGAGAGTAGCTAGTGGGCCAGAGATTAAAAAATCTTACTTTGACCTTGTAAAAAAGTACCACCCGGACATGGATAAGGAAATTGATAAGGAAGAGGAGAAATTTCAGCAAATCCAGCATGCATTGGAGATTTTGAAAGATGACGAAAAACGATCGATTTATGATTAGATGGGTCCTTAGGAGCCCTCAGTCTTATGATGCTGCAGCTGATGGAGGAGGACTAGGTCCTAAAGGGTTCAGATAATTGGACGTTCATGAGTTCTGAATTTGTTTTTTGGAGTTCAACAAGACGGTAGAAGATGTACATTGAAGATAGATATTGACTTCTCGCCCCGATCTTCAATGAGCGCGCCAACACATGAGAGAAGAAGAAAACCTAAAGCTAAAGTTTGCAATGTCCGCCACGCCCGTACTTTAAGGCCCCCCTTAGCTATAATCATATGGATGGGAGCATTCTGGGTTGCCAAAATTCCATCATTTGTGACCATTCCTACATAATGTAATAACCCACCAAAGGCTAAAACTGCAGTATGGTGGTAAAAAGATCGAACCCACAGGGACAGAGGCAACACACAGAGTAAAAGTGTCACGTTTAACAGACTTTTGTAGAGTTTGAATTCTCAGGCGACTGTCACTCCCAGAAATACTGCAGTGCTCGACTCAGAGACTCGACTCGGAGGAGGATCTCAACTCGGAGGATGCTCGGAGGATGCACGGTACAGCGTAGTCACTCAACACACCCACACACACCTGAAACTGGCAAAAGCACAACTCGGAGGTCGGTCAGGACCTCCGCTTCAGATTTCAGGAGGAAAGTGTCTCAAAAGTTCACTTAGAGGTTCTGCAGGTAGTGACTCCCACTCCGGCTTTTACTGCCCTTCCGCCAGGAACTAGCGTAGGGTACCCGGACTGGACTTCCCACTTCGGAACGAAGCCTCTTCATACGCCGTGGACGTCACCCTCGACTCACACCAAACGCAGGGAGTGCAGGCCCGACTGAGAACTTAACTGAGACACAATCCAGTAACACACACACAACCTGAATTGCAAACCAAGGCTTACACGAAGTAATAAAACTTCACTTTGGCATTCAGGGGAAACTTCCCGTAGGAGTACAATCAGGATATATCACTCGAAGGAGTAAGGGGGAACTGTTCAAGTATCTAACTCGCAGCCGGCTCTGAGCATCAGAAATCACCCGCAGGTGCAGATCCGCACTACTCAAGTCTCTAACCGGGTGCTAGCTCTGAACATTCAGCCGAAGGCCTTCAACTACAACATACGGTAACTTCGCTATGCTGCAGCTTCTCTACGTGGTGCAAGGACCAAAATGCACAAACACGCCAAGAAAGTGAGTTCCTGATCTGCACTTCCGAAACTGGAAGAGTCCCAAGGCAAAACGCCTTGATCTACTTTATACCTTCTAAGGTCCTAACTAACACTACGCTATCCTATCTACTACTCGCAACACTTGCACGAAACCAAACTACACTACTGCACTCTGCAGATCCGGTGCTGCGCCTCCTGCGCGCCGGACTGCCTCGCTCGCTATCTCTACCCTGCCAATCTTCCGACTGGCTGCGCAACCCCAGGCGTCGGAGGGCTGCAGTCACTTCCGACTCTAAGTGCGCCATAGTGTCGCGCGCACCCAACAAGAAGGATTCTAATTTCCTCGCTACTCGCCGCCGACTCCGACTGTCACCCTCCGTCAATGCCGCCGCCCGAAGCTCGAACTCCCTGAGTGTGATCTTCTCTTGAGTTGCCACCTCCCAATGGGCGTATCCTTTTAGACAGTGAGTCACCCGTGTCGCCAACTCTTCTCGCGCCCGGCAGCTGCCTTCCACCTCTGCTAGCTGCATTTCCGCATCTGCGCGCTGCGCCCTCAAATCCGAGCACTCGGATTGCAAGTTGCGCAACAACTCCTCATCCTCCTTGCGTGCTCTTTGACTTTCTTCTAAGGCGCGCGTTTGGCGCGCAAGCTCTGCTGCTAAGATGCGGTTTTGTCTCCGCTCTTCCTGCAATTCCGACTCGATCTTTGCCCGCATTAGCTCAACATCCGCCTGGCTTTTCGTCGCCGCATCCTCCCTCTGCTGCTGCAAGGTTTGGTATAGCTTCTGTGTGACCGCCAGGTGTTGTCGGAGGGTAGTGTTCCTATCCTGCAATACTTGGCACCTAGAGGCCCAAGTGGCCACCTTGCTCCTCGTCCTGCGCTTGACAGTCTCCACATAAGACTGCGGTTTTCCAGTACCCGAGTACTTGGAGGTCTTGCGATCCAGATATCGCAGGAGTGGGACTATCTGCTCGCACAACACCCCTGTTGGCGTTTTCTGCACAGAATCCGCTTCCTGCTCTTCTGAGCTCGTCTCATCCTCAGTTTTGAGGATTTCAGTCGCCACTGAATCCCTTGGCGACTCCCTGGAACTGTGGCGCGCAGCAGCTTCCGCCGCGACTGCCGCTCCACTCCCTGCTAAAATATCCAAGGCAATGGGGGATCCCACTGCTTGAGCCCCTGTTCCGGCTCGATCTTCGGTTTCCGAAGGGGTCGACGCCGCAGTGACTTTTGTCACCTTTGCACCGCCCGCTTCCGCTGCCTGCCCTTCCGGCGCGATCTGCGCGGAAGGTGTCTTTGCTGGAGGTGCGTCCGCCGAAGGCGTCCGCACACTGGTCGCCGGCCCTGTCCGTCTCGCAGTCGGCGAATCTGGTCGACTCTCTGTTGACCGACTCGCAGTCGGCCGACTAGCAGTTGTCCGACTGGCAGTCGGATACACCCTGCGCGTCTTCACTCCACTTGGCCTGCTTGCTGGCGGCGTTTTCCCAGAAGTGCCTTCCGCCGAAGACGACCCTCTGAGGGTTGTTGGCTCGTCAGCCAAACTCCCTTCTGCTTCTGGTCTGCTGTCCGGTTCAACGCGCCGCTCCGTCGGCCTTCCTTCCGTTTGTCGACCTTCAGTCGCCCGACTCGTAGTCGGCCGACTGTCAGTCCGTCCGTCTTCTTCCGAAGGCATTGGTGCCTTCTGCGCAGAGGTATTTGGCGACTTCCCCAGAATCTGCGCGATTATCTCCTCCTGCGTGGGATTCCGCCGGACCGGAGTACGCCCGGTATCCTCAGTACTAGTTGGCATTTTGCGTGCCCTCTGTTTTGGTCAACTGTGAGGCTCGTTGGTTGGCGGACTACGAGTCGGCGCAGCTGGCGCTTCCGGCTGCCTGTCCTCAGGTCTCTCGTCCCACTTCCGCTTTCGCGGAATGCGCTCACTCCGACGTTCTTCTGTTGCTCTTGCTGGGGGCGGAGCCGGAGGTGGGCTGGTAGGTGCCTCGTCCGGATCCGTGTCTACTTCGGCCTCCCGTGAGTATCTACCTGGATAGCTCCGTGTCAGCAGCGGAAACCGTGTCCGCTCTGAATTTGTCAAACATCCCATCGCCCGATAAAACACAATCAGGTAAGGCGAAAGATGATTGAGGGTTCCTCCTCTCTCTTCTTGCGCATGTTGGCGCGTCACCTTCCACAAGAGCCGTGCCCAATGCACTGGAGCTCCTGACAACACTAGCTCCACAAATCCTACCTGCCAACCATGCATGTAAGCGGTCTTGGTCGGCTGCAATATCTGCAACAATGCAGTCGCGACATTTCTGCGCAATCGATCTTTGTAATCCCGTGTCCGGAAACCGTTCTTGGGATGCCTGGCAACTTTGAAAAGCTCATTGTAGGAGATTTCTTCCTCCTGGGACACCTTCACGCTATCGGCCTCGAAGAGGAGATACCCTTCCTCGCCGGCACACCTGCCCAACACCTGCGCCTAGTCACAAATGTCCCATCTTTCTGGATGTGGACGGAATCCGCGTGAGGGCTTGTGTCTCTCCTGCAGATACTCGCGCACCATCTCCGGACATGTCCAGTTCCATCCCCACAGGAGGAAATCGAGCTTCAGCCCCATCAGCACATCTTGAAATGCGCGTAGACCGATCTGCAGCACCCTGAGTGGAGACACTCGCAGCTGGGGGACCTTCAACATTGCGTTTCCTGCACACACAAACGTTCTCCCTTTCGCTCGCTCTCTCACAATCGCCACTGCGCGTCGGCCGCTCAAGCACTGACTGCTCACTCTCTCTTCTCTCACGCTCAAGTTCGCTACTCGCAATTCTCTCCAAGGTCTGTCAAGATCCTTGCGCAACTCGCCTCCGCACTCTCTCCTCTCTCTGCAGGTCTCTCCGCCCTTGCGCGAATTCTTGGAAGCTGGAAATCGCAAAATCAAGAATGAGAGAATGAGACTGGAGAGCAGTCTTTTCTTCTCCGAATTCAAGATCGTCCAACGTTCTTACTGGTTACAATTTACGCAGCCAGCTATACGGCCTAACGGTTCGCCCTTGCATGCTCGAATTCACGTCTCCGCACTGCGCGCATTCGCATGCGTGAATGTTGAATTCT